AAAGAGCATTAATGTCAATCGAGAATCGATACGCTGAAGATCTGATCATTTTACAATTGCTATTGGTGGTGCATCATCTTTAGGAACGACTCGCCGTTGAGTAATATTTCGAACACTTCGTAATAATAAAACAGCAAGTCCAATCATTACTAATGGTGGTCCCATGGCTGTAAAAATTGTTTCAATATAACTAGCAATATATGCATAAAAACCGGGTAGAGGAATACATTGTCCATTTGTAATACTGTATAAAATAAGTTGATGACCAAAAAGTAATAGCCAAAAGAGTACGCACGTAATACAAATCTTATAGGATAAGTCGATACGATTACTCTACCGACGATATTCTAAAATAGAAATAAACAAGTATAACAGATACTTTCTTTCATAAAATAGAATTTTTTCATCGAAATTAAAATCTTCTGACATACAAAATAGACTTATTTTGCTGCAAAAGTAGATTGAAAGCAATAATAAGTACAAGAAGACACTTATTTCTATTCATTGATAAAAGAACTCATTCTGATGCAAGCCTATTTACCAACTTGTAGTTTGAAAAATCAAATTTATCCTTCTACAAAAGTTTATCGTATTTCACAATTGTTTGCTGTATCAACAAGGACACTAAAGACTTGAAATTTCAGCTGTAATGAAAGATTTAATAGGAACGCTAGATTCAGAAAAAGACCACCAACAGTTTCTCATTAGGTCACAAATTAAGAAAAGTCCCGTTGAGTTGAGATTTTCAAAAATATGTGAATATGGTAATCAAAGATTTTGATAAAAATTTGAATCCAATACGGCAAACTTCGAATTATTTGTTTGACATAAACTACAACCATGTTTCCTGCTTAAATTATAAGAAATGTTTATTTAATGTTGACGCAAATCAAAAGGTATTATTTACAGAACTGGTAAAACTTCAGAAAAAAAACAAAATACAAAGTTTTCTTGTGAAAACTCACTTGGGAAAGAATAAAAAAAGTGATTCATCTATCAGATATGAGGTTTTTTTAATTACTCAACAACGACTTTCAACTAAGATGTATCAATTCAATGGTAGTCTCTCAAATCATTGTCTTTCAATTTGTCTTACAAAAATTATGTTTGAACATTTTTGAAATTCGTATATCTTTGGTAAAAAAAAAACGTTGCAGAGATATCGGTTTACTCTATTGCTCTGTATAGTCCGAATTTGACTACAAGTGTCGGAAAAGAGAGTTTTGGTTCTCAAAGGTCTCTTTCTTTACAAATATGATAATAAGTTTCGTTTCCTTATTACTTTTTTAAAGACCAGTTTTTTTTGTTGGAATCAATCTTCGAATTCTTTTCAGTGCTTGAAACAGCATAAAGACATTGAAATTGAATCTTATTTCTGTAACATTGCTACATGATGTTTATTCAAAGAGATTATCGAGCATCTCTCCAGAAAATGAACATACAAATACTTTCATGGAAATAGTTAGTATTCTACTTACTTCTCAATGGAAGTGGCCTACTATGATTCTTTGACATTTATCAGAACGTAAAGGAAATTAGAAATAATTTACTATAGAAATTTCTAATGCCTTCATACTAAATTTTTACTTTCATTAAAAAAATGATTCAGTTTTGTAAACTTTAAAATTTCAATAAACTCTAATTATAATCTTTAAAAAATGAATTTTTTAATAATTATGAATAGAATTATATTCAATAGGATTTTAGAATGTTACTAGGACAGAAGACTACAATGCGTTCTATGCAACGTTAACACGTCAGTCTTCTGCTCGTCTAGGTTATGATGTATATTTTCTTAACTTACTATTTAAACGTTGTAAAGATAAAATTCGATCAATCGTTACAAAGGAAAAGAAAGTAAACGAAACGTCAGCATTCCAGACTGAATCAAATTGTCAAAGTTTACATAGAATATCATAACGTATAGTTATTGAAATTTGAAATCCTTTTTGAAGCACTCGTGTAATTAATAGAAAATCAAAGTAAATAATATTAGATGCTGCTTCCGATGATAAATAAACTGCATAAGCTCGCTTGTGAAGTACTAGAGAACTAAATACAATCATATTTCCAAACCAACCAAGATTACCAATCATCCAAAGAAATGAATCAAACCATATGTTCAATTGATATGGTGCAGCTAAAAGAGCATGACTAATATTGCTTGATGACCTATTCATTGCTTGTAGACTAATGGAAGAAAGAACATCGATACCCAAACACCTCATTGCCTTACTCGATTTACGTAAACAAAAGATCTTTTTCTATTTCTCTTTATTGAAATAAATATTCTTTAATGAGGTTTTATTTTTTTTTTCAGCAGAAAGAAGTACATCTTAAGTAGTTTTCATCGTCACGAACGCATATATTCTGTTATAAAGAATGAAGTTCAACTACGCGTAATCGATAATAAGAAGTGTAGTATAGCTTTATTTTTTAACAGTTTAAGAACATTTCAGTAAATATGGTAAATGATGTTTTCGAAAGAATTATATTCAATTAAATGATGCATATTTTTTATGTCACGTTTTGCCACAAAAAAGGTATTTTGCTTTAAGAAACAAGTTTTATCTATATTTTATGTTAGAAATTAGCCATAGAAAGTAAATTTATAGTCTTTATATATAGTAATTGCTACAAGTATCCTGTTGGTAGATAATTTTATTATGCATTTTATTATATTGAAACAATTTTGTCAGATGACAGCTCGTAATCTCGAATATATTAGTGAAAAAAAGTTGTTAACGTAATCTCTACTAAGTTACGATATGAAAAACAACGTAGCTACTATAAATAATTACAGTAATGTTGTTTTATTTCTTTCAATTGGGAACATATTTCTGCAGGATACTTTGACCTAGGCTTTTTCATAAATTATAAAAAGAAACTATTGACATACAATCTTTGATGAAGTGTCAATCACGTCTGCTACAATCTTAGACGCACACTAAGTTAAAATGCGTCAGATGTGTCGTGACTTGGGACACATTGCGTGACACATTCGAGTACGACACATCTGACACATTATTTGGTCGAGGTTCGAATTCGATCATGGATACACATTGTTGGATGTGGATGTGGGTGTGGATGTGGGTGTGGGTGTGGGTGTGGGTGTGGGTGTGGGTGTGGGTGTGGGTATGGGTGTGGGTGTGAGTGTGAGTATTTCCATCATTTACACCCACATCCACACCGACACCGACACCCACTCACACCCACAGACCCACACCCACCCACACACCCCACACACTCACCCACACACTCATACACACCCACACCCACACCCATTTCTTTCTTTTCAGTATGTAGAATCTTTTATATACCTACAATAAGTTCAAAAACTATTTCGAACAATTGTAGCGATTTCTGCTATTCCTCAAAATCAAATTCAATGCAGACACATGCAAATTGTTTGAAATTTTTAGTTTTGTACCATGATGTTTAAGGAAGATATTCTCTGCTTAAGAGTAAAAATTGCTTCATTTTATCACTTGATATATCTTCTGTGGTTTTTGATCCCACGTATCTAATCCATCTTGTATCAAAGAGTGTGTCAGAAAATAAAGCGTGATAGAACCTTTTTTCTAAAGTTTGACTTGGTCATATCCTATATTCTGAGATACTCTTTAGTACAAGAAAAATTAACTGAATAGAATGAAACACTACAGAAAATTCATAGTTACTAAATGAGTTATTTTTCACTTTTATTTGCTGAATGTCTACTGCATATAATACGAAATAATACTCAAGTTAGTTTTCAAGAAGAGGAAAGGTAACCTTCAGTATCTGAAGACTTTTTAGACTGATTGTTTATTCATTTTCACTAGAATCGCTTGGTGAAGTGTACGATAGAATTTATCGATTCACCCAGATAGTTCTATACAAAGTATCCCTAACATTCAATGTAGAAAGAAACTGAAACAGATTTGAGAAAGACTTCTATCAAAGTAACTATCAACTATCTCTGGTTTCAGTCGTATTCTATGGTTTTCATTTGAGGCAATTAACCATCAAAATTACAAATAAATATTTGATTAACTACTACTGAAATAGTATAGAGGAAATTGGAAGAGAGTAAAATGGGTCATTAGGAATTTCTTTTATTCCAAGTGTTCTTAAGAGAAAAATCGTTATCTCACTATTTAAAATATTATTGAGTCAAAATCGAAAAATCAACATTACAATACAATAATATATTCATTATTTTTCTTTTAGTATTACACTTACAAAGACCAACATTAATGCACAGAAAGATTGGGGTTATCATCGGTTTCTACTTGTTATAGAGTATTCGAAAAAGTCTCCGATACCATCGTCACTAAATATCTTATATTATATCATTCAGCTGGTTTCTACATTAATTCGATTTCTAGGCAAGAAAAAGGGTGAGTATACTCGAAGACGAACCTTATTGACTACGTCAAAGTAAACATAACATGTTAGTTATGGTTTATTAAACTCAATTTATTAAGATATAAATTATAAGACCGATTATTTCATGCACAAACAAAAAATGATTAGTTCTTGATTTTCCATTTGTTATTCATCATTATAACTTCATTTGTTGATTCTGTTATGTCAGTCGCTCTAAATATCGGATGATTTTTCTGGATGAATATCCACTTATTAATTTAGAAAATGCCGACATAACATTCGCTCATGTAAAAGTTTACACTTCGATGAACGTGCATCGATCAGTGATAATTATTTTCCATATCGAAAACAAATTAATGAAATATCCTATTATGTGCAACAATTGTTAAAACTTTCATCACAATCGACGCCAATGTTAGACAGGAATAGTATTCTACTACCAAAACTCAGTTACACCATCATCATAGTCGTCTAGTTGAGATTGATATCTATGGCCTTTTTTTCTTAAATTGATTGAATGATGTTGATGGGCAACAGATGATGAGTCCTTGAATCGTTAGATACTTGAGTAGGGTGGAGTGGGGTGTGGGTGCGTCGAAGTATTTATATTAAGACCTACACGCACACACATACCTTGGTAGACCCTGAAGATCCTGATGCATAGTATAAAGATTTCGAATTATTTTGTAATTCATTGTTTTTGAATTACTTTGTAATTCATTTGCGTCATCCAGTGAAAAAAAGATGCACATTTGTGTATGAATATAGCGAGATCTATATAGATAGCTGCATAATCGCAGTCACCTAACCTCACAACAGTAGAGAAAGCAACAATAGATAAACAAAATTTTAAGATCATTTTTGTTTAATCCTTATCTTTTCATGTTCAGATGATGTCTACGCTCTTCTTGATGATAGTAGCAAATTGGATGCTAATGTAATGAATTTAATAGTGTTCAATGTTGATAATCGTATTATCAGTGCTGGTACCGTTGATAAGATCTTAATAAATTTTTGTACAGCTCCTACTGATTCGAATGCAAAAATTATAGTATACATTATCAAACCAGTATTGAGTGATAGTGAACACTTTTCTGTGCAAGAACAAATGGAATCATTTGTTACCAATTTCAGACCATCTATTGGAATTCAGAAATTTGCAATTAAACCATTCAAAGTACTCGATGGTGATTATGTTGGATTCAGGTTTACAGAAAATACTGGTAGTCCATTTAGTATTGAATGTGCTAGCTATTATGTTGAACATAATATTGATCAGAATATAGAGGTAGAAGAAGTAATGCATTTCACTCCATGTGCCAACCATGGCATCACAGTAACTTTTACTATGAATCATAACGAAAACAGAAACAAACCAGCTAAGAAGAATAATTTTGTTCGTTCGAATTTGGAGATGAATAAAATAAACAACGAGGAAAAAGAAATAACAGCAACCTCTATCCATGACTACCTTTCAATACCATCCGACGATAACTAACCATTGATTATAGATAAAAGACAAAGGTCATCTATCGCTGTTTCATTTAGACAAGATCTCACCAGTAAGAGAACGGTTCCAATAACGCTTAAACATTTCTTTTATCATTCATTTTGTTAGATCTGACAC